TGGGAATGAAGACATTACGAAGAGAAACTGGAACCAATAACAGGACGGCCACTTCCCCCTTTCTCTCTCTCTCGCTCTCTCTCTCGCTCTCGCTCTCTCTCTCTCTCTCTCTCTCTCTCTCTCTCTCTCTCTCTCTCTCTCTCTCTCTCTCTCTCTCTCTCTCTCTCTCTCTCTCTCCCTCGCTCTCTCTCTCGCTCTCTCTCTCGCTCTCTCTCTCGCTCTCTCTCTCGCTCTCTCTCTCGCTCTCTCTCTCGCTCTCTCTCTCGCTCTCTCTCGCTCTCTCTCCCTCTCGCTCTCCCTCTCGCTCTCCCTCTCGCTCTCCTCTCGCTCTCTCTCTCTCTCTCTCTCTCTCTCTCTCTCTCGCTCTCTCTCTCGCTCTCTCTCTCGCTCTCTCTCGCTCTCCTCTCGCTCTCCCTCTCGCTCTCCCTCTCGCTCTCCCTCTCGCTCTCTCTCTCGCTCTCTCTCTCGCTCTCTCTCTCGCTCTCGCTCTCGCTCTCGCTCTCGCACTCTCTCTCGCTCTCTTTTACTACCTCTTTCACTCTCATTTTCTTTCAACCTCTCTCTTTCTCTTTCATTCTGTCTCTGTTTCTGCCTCTGCATCTGCCTCCGTCTGTCTCTCTCCCAACCACAATCAATCAAAAATAAAAAATAAAAAATAAAATAAAATAAAATAAAAATAAAAATCTCCAAAACAACCAACTAGCAAAAACAAACAACCCCTCCGCCTCCCCCTCCCCCCCCCCCACGAAGAGCGTCGAGAGAAAAGGCTTCGGGATCTTCAAGATGATCGGGAAGCCACGGACCGCCGCCGGAAGTGCGAAGGTCACGCGCGTGCAAGCCGGGGTGTCGGATCGCGGCTATCGGCTTTCGCGAAAAATCTTCAGGAATTGCGAATATCGAGTGTTATTATTTCTTGGGTGGGCGGGGGGTGGGGTGGGGGTGGGGAGAAGGAGGGGACAGGAGGAGACGGGATGGGAAGGTAGGGGCTGGGGAGGGGGGAGGGAAAGATGCGGTGGTGTGGAAAGGGGTAGGGTTGGGAGAATGGGAAAAAAATTAAAAAGGACGAAGAAGAAGAAGAAGAGGAGGAGAACAAGGAAGAAGAAAAAGAAGAGGAGGAATAATATGAAGAAAATAACGATAATGATAATAATAGTAATGATAATAATAATAACAATAATAATAATAATAGGAGGAGGAAGAAAAAGAAAAGGAAGAAAGGAAGAAGGGGAGAAGATGGAGGGTATCTTTAAAGGGAGGAGGAAGGTTTAGATACATAGAGGGTATGGGAAGATGGTGATAGGAGAAGAATGTGTTACATGAGAATGATGGAAAAAGAAAAGAAAATGTGTTAATCAAATATGTCTTATTAAGATCAGTGTATATATATATATATATATATATATATATATATATATATATATATATATATTATATATATATATATATATATATATATTGTATATATATAACATATTTATACATATATATAATATATATATATATATATATATATATATATATTTCTATATATACATATATATACATATATAATACATATATATATATATATATATATATATATATATATATATATGTATGTATATGTATGTATATGTATGTATATGTATATATATATTATATATATATATATATATATATATATACATATACATACATATACATATATATATATATATACATATATATATATATATATATATATATATATATATATTATATATATATATACAACTTAAAATGGAAAATAAAAATACAAAAGATGAAAGAAACAAGAGGATGATGAAAAGAGGAGGAGGCAAGAAAAAGAAGAAGAAAAAGAAATGGAAGTGGAGGAAGAAGAGGAGGAGGATAAGAAGGAGGAAGATAAAAGAAAGACGGGCTGGAGAAGATAAAGGAGGAAGAGGAGGAAGATAAGAGAGGGAGAGGGAGAGGGAGAGGGAGAGGGAGAGGAGAGGGAGAGGGAGAGGGAGACGGAGAGGGGGAGGGGAAGGGGGTAGAGGGGGAGGTAGAGGGGGATGGTGGTAGAGGTAGTGGAGGAGGGAGAGAAAGAGGAAGAGGAGGAGGGTGACGAAGAGGAAATGAAAGAGTTAGAGGGAGATGATGAAGATGATGATATGGAAATAAGATGACGAAAAAAAACATGGAGGAGGAAAAAATTATTCCAAAGGAAAAAAAAAAACAATAAATGTCGAGAAGCCAAACTCCAAAAGAATCGGCGAAAATAGCAAGAGAAAAGCAAGGCCAAGGAGATAAGCTCCAAGGAACAAACAAGACGCTAAAAAAAAGGACCTGCCAACGAGAGTTTTGCAAGAATATAGAAAGATTGCCCCCCCCTCCTCCTCTTCACCTCCTCACCCACCCCTAGCCACTTAGCCCTCCCCATCTCCTTTCACCCCCTACTCTACTCTCTACTCACCCCCTGGCCCACCGTACCCACCCCTACCCCATCATACCCATCCTTCTACCCACCCTACCTACCCCCCTTCTCATCCTCCCTACCCCCTTTCTTCAACCTCCCTACCCCACTTCCCCACCCCCCTTCCCCACCCTACCCACCCCCTGCCCCACCATACCCTCCGGCGATTTGCATTATGACGTATGTGGAGGAAATTTGGAGCGCAAACCAACCGTGTCTTGAGGTAGGGCAGGTCCGGACCGCCCTCTGTTAGGAGGACAGAGAAGCTGAGCGCGTGCCCTTCTCTGAGGTTTGACTCGGGGATAAGAAGTTGGGGGAGGGAAGAAGGGGAGGGAGGAGGGAGGTAAAGGGAGAGGGGAGTGAAGTGAGTGTAAAGGAAGAGAGGAGAGGGAGAGGGGAATGAAGTGAGGTTAGAGGAAGAGGGGAAAGGGAGTGAAGTGAGGGTAGAGGAAGAGGGGAGAGAGGAGTGAGGTGAGGTGAGAGGGGGAGGGTCAGAGGAGCAGGGAGACGGGAGAGGGAGAAGGGGACAGGTGGTAAGGTGATGTGAGTAAAAGGGGGGCCAAAAGAGCGGGGAGAGAGGGACAAAGTATTGAAGTAAGGGGAGAGAGAAAAAGGGAGAGGAGCGACAAGAGGGAAAAGGGGGAAGGGGATAAAGAAGAGAGTAGAGAGAGAGGGCGGAGAGACAAAGGGAGGAACCAGCAAAGGGACTGAATATGGAGAAGGCTAAATAGGATAAGAAATTGGGAGTAGGATAAGGGGAGAAATCGGAAGGGGGGGAGGGAGGAGCCAGTGGAGGAAGGAATCGAAGTGGCAGCATAAAAAAAGAGAAAGCAAAAGGATAAAGGAGAGGGAAGGGAAAGGGCGAGGGCATGAGGAGAGAGCATGAGGGTGGAAGGGAGGGAGGGAAGGGGAAGCAAGGGCAGGAGGAGAGACCATGAGGCAAGGCTGGGGATAGGGTATGAAGAGGAACATGAACATGACGATAGAGATGAAGATAGCAATGATGTAAAGGTAGAAGATAGGGCGATAAAGTACAAGATCAAGGTGAAGAGAAAGATGAAGATAACAAACGATAAAGATGAAGATGAGGAAGTTAAAAAAACGAAAAAGATGAAGACGATGAAGCAGATGTTGATATTCATCAAGACGATGATGGATAAAAGGATATAATAGATAGAGACAGAAATAAAGATATCGATACACATAAAGCTAAACATCAAGATAAACATGTAGTGAAAGAGAAAGAAAAAGATATACATGAAGATTAAAAAACACTAATGAAAGTCAAGGTGAAATTGAAGGTCAAGGTTGAAGGCCAAAGTGATGAAAATCAAATTGAGGAAAAAAAAAACGAATAATAGTGAAGATGGAAACGTGATTCTACTAACGATGGTGAGGATAATGGCCAAACGTGGCTAATTCCTTCTCCGGCTCACAATCGGACGTGAAAAAGGATAAACCAAAACTTTTAAAAAGACGAGCTAATTAAAATGTCACGACACAGGGTTATAACAATAAATTTCCTCCTTTTCCTTTCTTTGGAACAACCGAAGTTCCAATCAGGAATAAAAAAAAATAGGAGAGAAATCGCAAAAGACTAAAAAATCAAAATGGAAGTGCTTATAGCATCGCGTAAAGATGGTGATTATGACGATGATAGTAATAACATCAACAACATTAATGATGATAATGATGATGATAATAATGATGATAATAATAATATAATGACGATTATGATTACAATAACGATAATAACAATAACAACAATACTGATGATGATAATGATGACGATTTTACTTAATTTCCTCTCGCACGTATAAAGTCCCAAACAAGATGCAAAATATAGGCATATTTTGTATAAATGGGTGAGAACAATCAGTTGAATCTACAAACCGATTTGTGCAATTAATAAAAAAAAAACAGACATGCAAATGTGCACACGTTCACATATCCAAGCACGCACGCACGCCAGCAAACACACACACACATACACACACACAGACACACACTTGCACATCTAATTAAACTGTCTTGTTGACACGCTCTAATAATGGAAGTGAAGTTTGTATAACATCCATTTCCCATTATATTTCAACTCTCGATAATGGTGAATATAAAATTCGCATTCCGTGCTACGAGTAACATGCAATCATGCAAAATATTAGCATCGCAAAAGCGCTGCACTCATGCAAAAGATAAATAGTTTGAATCTTGAATAAGAAACGGGGCGGGAGTATGCAACAACAAGGATTAAAATAATGAACAAAGAGCATTTCGGAAGAGGATGCCACGAGAGCGAAGCCGACACTCCGGCCTGGGACAGACGGCTAACACGCCACCGACTCCACCTACACTACCATGGGTCAGGCATGCGCATACCGGAGGGGCGTCGCCAGGCAGGACAAGGGGTGAGGGTCAGGTCATGCGGGCACGGAGGGTGGTGTCGACGGATCAGCCGCCGCTCCTGACCTCTTTCTCGATGTGTAATGCAGTATGCCACACGGTGAAGGCCAGGCGATGCAGAACCCCGGCGTCCATGCGAGGGTCCGAGCGTGCGCGGCGTCTACGTTGACGTACGTTGGTGCTGCCGTCGGATCGCAGGGAGTCCAGGGAAGACTTGCAGGAGGAGCCCAGAGAGTTCCAGGACGCCGACGGGGCTACGCGTCCTACGGGTGCCGTGCGAGGAAGCGTGGCGGGGGAGAGTCCGGGTGGAGCTAATAAGGGAAGGGATGGACGAGTACACGTCGTCTTCCTCTTCGGCCCGGGTTGTTTGAGGCCACGTGGGCGTCGACTGCACCATGAGCAGGTTATCTGGACTAGGGGTGGTGCTGGTCGTCCCTGGGTACGATGCTCTCATTTCCCGCACCTGGGGGCCTCGCTCTGGAATAATGGGCGGAGGTATAGATCCTGGAGATATGAGAGGATTGTGAGGTCCTACGGGCCCCGTGGTCAGGCGAGGGGGAGGCAAGGGCGGAGGTGCATCGTCTGCCCTCCGACGGTACCGAAGTGGGGCAGGCAGAGGCGGCTGAGGCCGAGAATACTTTGCTTCGCCGACGCTCTGATATAGTGGATCTCCATCCGTTGTCTCTATGCTGGAGTAGATGTCGTCGCTCAGCGCCCCCTCGCTCCGTGGGCCCTCGCTGGGGTACTCCAGGCTGGAGTAAATGCCGTCATCATCGCCGGGACTCCACCGCACCGGAGGAGGGATAGGCCTCTCCCTCCGAAGGGTCTCGTACTTGGACTCGCCTTCCTTCTCTTTACTCTTCGGCAGAGCCTGGTACTTGGACTCGCTGTCCTTTTCCTTCTCTTTCTTTTTCGACTTCGAATCACTTTCCTTTTCCTTCTTGCTTTTCGCCTCTCCTTCTTTATCCTTCTTCTTAGGTAACGACTGATATTTTGGCTCGCCTTTATGAGCTCTTTTGGGGAATGATTGGTATTTAGAATCTCCTTCCCTGAAAGTCCTTTTTGTAGGAGAATGATACTTATCTCCCTTTATCCTCTTGGGGACACCCTGTAATTTCAACATTTCCTTCTCTAATTTGCGAGCCTGGAGAAGTCGGTAATTGGATTTGACGTCTTGGATCATCTCAGGCGTCACTGCCTGGTATACAGGGGCCTCGTCGGCAGGATCAGGCGACGGCGGAGGGAAGAAACTGCGTGAATCACTTGGTTTCGTCTGATACGGTGGAGGGGGTGGTTCACATATTTTTGGAGACATCACAGTGTACGGTGGACCATCATCATCTTCGGGCTTGACGGGCGCAGTACAATACAAAGATTCACTTACTTTCGGTGCAATCTTTTGATACAAAGGCTCTCGCTCTGTTACCTTGGGAGCAATCATCTGATACAGAGGCTCACGATCAGCTGCTTTGGGAGATGTCTGATGTGATACCATGAACTTGGGGGGAACTGGCTGGCCATAGGTTTCAACGTCACAAGGCTTTGGAGGTAAAGAAGCTCTATTTAGCAATTCAGAAGTGTGAAGCTTAGCTGGCAAAGTTTCATACAAAGGAGCCTCATTCTGCCTAAGGTGAGGCTCTGTCACTTGCACCTTCAGGGGACCTGTCTGGTAGGTAGACTCCCATTTCTTGTCCTTGGAGGAACCATCTGAAATCCCGGCTGAGCCTCAGTAGGCCTTGGTGGACCTGTGTGGAATTTGGGTCACCATTGTATGGTTTTGGCAAATCCAGTGGAGGTTTGCTGTCCACACTAACTGGAATAGAGAAAGGTATTCTTTCTACTTCTGGTCTCCTTATTGGCATTGGCTGGAACTTGGGCTCATTCTCAGAGCGTATGGTTGGGATGGTGTGGAAAGCATAGTCTGTTCTCCTCGGCGCCATGGCTGGATCACGGGGGTCGTAGCTTGGTTTTACACAAGGTATAGGCTGGAACTCATAGTCATGAGTTTTAGGTACCATTTGCTGATATTTTGGCTCCAGATCAGGCCGACCTGATGATACAGGTGGAGGCTGAAATTTGGGTTCTATATCAGGCCGTCTTGGTGGTAGTGGCTGATACTTTGGTTCTATATCTGGTCGTCTCTGAAGCTGTGGAGGGAAACTTGGCTCAATGTCAGGTCGCCTAGGGGGTAAAGGCTGATATTTCGGTTCAATGTCTGGCCTCGGTGGAGGAAGCGGTTGAAATTTTGGCTCTATATCAGGGCGTCTCAAGGGAGGTGGATGGTACTTGGGTTCTATATCAGGTCGTCTTGGAGGCAGTGGCTGGTATTTGGGTTCTATGTCTGGTCGTCTCTGTGGTAAGGGCTGGTATTTTGGTTCAACGTCAGGTCGACCTGGTGGCATATGCTGATGGTACCTTGGTTCTATGTCAGGACGTTTGGGTGGCAGTGGCTGGTACTTTGGTTCAATATCTGGCCGTTCATGTGGTAGCATTTGGTACTTTGGTTCTATATCCGGCCTAGGAGGTAATGGCTGGTATTTCGGTTCTATATCAGGCCTAGGGGGTAACGGTTGGTTTTTGGTTCTAGATCGGGCCTTCCTGGTGGCAGTGGTTGATATTTAGGCTCTTGGTCTGGCCGTCTGGGTGGAAGGGGTTGATATTTAGATTCTAAATCAGGTCGGCAGTGTGGTGCAGTGTGGTATTCTGGCCTAGGAGCTGGTATGGGCTGGAACTTGGGCTCTAGTTCTGGTCTAGGGGCTGGTATGGGCTGGAACTTGGGCTCTAGTTCTGGTCTAGGGGCTGGTATGGGCTGGAACTTTGCCTCTAAGTCTGGTCTCGGGGCAGGTATGGGCTGAAACTTTTGCTCTAAATCTGGTCTTGAGACTGGTATAGGCTGGAACTTTGGCTCTAAATGCGGTCTAGGAGCTGGTGGTGGCTGATATTTTGGTTCAAGATCTGGCCTAGGAGCTGGTAATGGTTGGTATTTTGGGTCTAGATCTGGTCTGGGTGCTGGTAAAGGCTGGTACTTTGGTTCTAGCTCTGGTCTTGGAGCTGGTAGTGGCTGGTACTTTGGTTCTAGCTCTGGTCTTGGGGCTGGTAGCGGCTGGTACTTTGGTTCAAGTTCTGGTCTTGGGGCTGGTAGCGGCTGGTACTTTGGTTCTAGTTCTGGTCTAGGGGCTGGTAGTGGCTGGTACTTTGGTTCAAGATCTGGCCTTCCCATTGGAATAGGCTGAAATTTTGATTCATCATTCCTCGGATGAGGAATGTAATGATGTCTATGCTCCACGTCATGCCTCACTGGTGGTATGGTCTGGTATCTTGGACCAGGATCACACCGACGTGGAGGGAGAGGATGGTATCTTAGATCTACAGTTGGTGGTAACACTCGATGGTACCTTTGGTCAAAATGGTCATGTCTTTTTAAAGGGACAGTTTCATATTTTGATTCTATGTCATGCCTCGGGAGGGGATGTGGTACAGAATGATATTTGAATCATAATTATATCTTTTGTGAGGCAGTGTTTGGTATTTGGGACCGATGTCGTACCGTTGGGCGGCAATTCCGGATATTTCGGCTCCACATCCGGTCGTTTTGGAGGATGAATGTGGTATGTAGGCTCACCATCGATCCCTGTGGTCGGCAGAACCTGATATTTAGGATCAAAGTCATACCTCTTCGGTGTGATTTGCTGGTACTTGGGTTCAGAAACTCGTCTCTTGGGTGACATCGTTTGCTGCGGCCCTTGCACTACCTCCTGCTGCTTAGGTGTCTGCTGCTCTACTGACATCTCGTGTTTTATGGGCGAGACAGATGGGGCGGCATCACCCTTCTTTGGGGATGATGGCATATGACTGGGCATTGTGTCGCGTCTTTTAGGCGAAAGTGGTGCATGCCCATGATCTGGTCCTGTGTCTCTTCTCTTTGGTGAAGACGGTATGTAATTTGGAAGGCTTTCTCGTCTCTTTGGTGATGAGGATGAGTGAGTTGAGTCTCCAACACGTCTTTTTGGTGAGGAGCTCGGTGGAGGTGTAGGGTCACCATCCCGCTTCTTAGGAACAGCTGTGAACCTGGTCTCTGCACTGCTGTGCCTCTTAGGAAGGGATTGGTACTTGGGGTCACTCCTGCCAATGGCCTGATACCTCGCCTCACCTTCATGCCTTCTGGGGAGAGACCTGAATTTCGTCTCGACCTCCCTCCTTGATGATTGTCCCTTTGCGTCTCCCTCCTTTGGAGATCGTTTTGAAGATGCATCCTTGGCTGAACGACGAGGAAGAGTCTGGTAGTCCGGGTCTCGACGCCGTGGTTTGCCATCACCCCCATCCCTACTGCTTCGCTTTGAAGATGAGGAGGATGACTTGAGCTTCGGTTCTCCTCCAGACTGCTGAGCATCCCTGCTGGAGGAACCTTTACGGGTGAGAGAACTTACTGACAAGGGCTTGGCTTCCCCATTGTTTCCTTCACTAAGATTTCTCCGATGAGACTTCGGGAGCGAAGGTGTATTGATTCCAAGTTGCTCTGCCGCTGTGGGACCTGAAGACCCTCCTTGTGGTGTTCTGGCCAGCAGGTGAAACCCTATGCCTAAACTCCGTGTGAGGTAGCCAGGCCGGTTGTGTCTCGGGAGAGAATAGAACCCAGTGGGTGGCCTACTGGCAGCCGGTGGAGGCTGGTACATGGGCAAGGACGATGGCCCGGACACAGGAGGTGCTGCTGAAGTGGGCACAGATGCGGCTCCCGAGGCAGTACATGTCTGAGCTGTTGAGGAATCTGTAGTTGATGTCTCCGGAGCAGTAGACGCTGGCGTCGGCACAGGCTTACTTGAACTCTTCCCATTGTTGTTGTTATTGTTATTGTTGCTAGCATTGTTATTGAAAATGCTAAGTGCAGCACTTGGGAAGCCAGCAAAGCTATTCTGCCGACGGAACAGCTTTGCAACATTCCGGCGAGGAGGAGGCGCTGGCGGCTGGTTCATCACGGGTGAATTGACCTAACACGAAGCTTACAAATGATATGAGACACTGTTGAACTTAGCTCCGAGACGACCCTGTTCTACCTAACGCTTAATAAAGATCATCAACAAACACGCAAACAGACGCACTGTTCAACACTTTTTGGACATCTAGCAGAATATCAAAAATGCAACTCGACACTTACAATTAGGGTGAACACTTAATTAATCTATAAACGATTAGATACATTTACCATCAATCAAATAGCACCTGATTTCACCTCCCAAAGAAGGTATAAAGACTAAAATACAGCTAGTGAGAGCAACGACTCGAGAGCATAACGATAGGCTTAAAATCACAAGAGGTTCCCACCTGCGAGACAGCGAAACACATGGAATGCAACACAGAGACAACCAAAACACCAAGTGGAAAAATCGTATCTAATTTGATAGATTTGTTAATTCGTGAAATCTACTATACAATCTAACCATCACATATAACCGCTCTATTCTCCTCGAAAAAAAATTAACAAGAGCACCGAAGATTATTTTATTAATTCATCTACCTATTTATTTATTATCAAATAATTTAACTAATACAGCTTACTGATAGAGGGTGGAAGATGGGGTGGTATGGGGCGAGGGAGTGAGATGTGGGACCTAATCAACATCTCAGAACCATGTGAATTATGTCAATTAGTTACCTTCTCAAGGTAATGAGCACACTGAATGAGCGAGTTTAATGGGAGCTCGCGAGAGGGCAACACTCCTACACTAAATTTACAACTTTCTACAACTTACAACTTACATGGAAAACCAACAAGAACTCGATTGTCTTACTATTATTACAAAGTCTGAATAAAATGCTCTAACATGAATCAGATTGTAGTGCCTTTTCGTGGCTTTATTACTATTTTAAAGCTTAAAGCTTTCTGAACTCGTTTAAAGTTAAGCTCGTTTAGGAATTAACTTATTTCAGTATCATTGAGCGAGTGTGTCTGAGGGTGTGAGCACAAGTGAACGTGGGTTTGATATGCGACACTTATTGTGATCTTTCTTGTCTTGCTTGTCGTCACTGTAACCCTTGACGTGTTGTTTCTTGCATGTGGCCAAAGCGGCGACTTCTTTTTTTAATGTATATAAAGAAAGTGTTAATGTAGAAAACAGTGAACTAACGGCTTGCCTAAGATTTCCCTTCACGCTTGTGGTATCAAAATCTACTTTAATTTAACGAACTACACATTTGCCGTTCGTCGTTATTTATTTATTATTTTTATTTTTATTTTTTTTACAAAGTAAGAATCGAGCTTAGAAGTGTCTACTACAAGTGCCAGTTCTACTCCATGAGAGATGCCATTACCACGTCATTACTACGTCATCACTACTGTATTACCAGCAACACCGTCGAAAAAGGCACATTGATCCAAATCTTTTTTTTAAGGGCAGCCGTAGTGTTTGACCATGTAAAGCTCACACACGCTTGGCTGCAGAGAGAGAGGAGGGAAGCTGCAGGACCACACGGACTCTCTCCTTCACTAGCTCAACTGGCCTGATTCCATCCCGCTACCCAGAGCACCTCGATGCTGAGGCCGCTACCACCATCACCAACACTATCAGCACGGGAGAGACGAACGAGGTAGGAAGGTAGCGTTGCGACGGGGCCCAGAGACAGTGCCGTAGGCCATCTACTCCCATTGTATTTTCAGGGGGAACCGACGCACCGCCGACGGCTGTAGACAGACTCCAGGAGGGGAAAAAGACTCTTGGGGATATTATCAAATTTGATGGTGGCGTCGTAGGCTGCGAAGTGAGCGCACGAATCCTTCCGGGAGGTAATAGAAGACGGACTAAAAGCTTCTTGATTATCGTAGGTACTTTTCGGCGCTAAGGACTGGCTCAGCGCTCCCTCTCGTGGCTAAAGACATGACGGTGCGATGCCAGGCTTTGCTGGGGATCTGAATCAGTGGGAATCCGGTGGCTGCGGCTGGACTCAAGACCTAAATGGTCCACCTGCCCTTCTCGAGACCCACTGAGTGATCTCGCGGTTTGAGTGGCACTATTTCATCTCCAGGCCTGAAGAGCGAGATTCCCCGGCAGGTTCCAGAGCCTGGAGCCAGCAGTGACACCAAATCAAGCCGTTAACCTCAAGATTACTAGCGTTACCTGGCCGCCGTATACACGCACACGCACTCACTTCCGGTAATAACCCCACCAATGCGAGCAAAATCAACCAACCCGCAACTTTGCCTCAGCTAAATTCGTGTTCCTGTCTTTCGTGTAATTTTCCTTCTTTCTCTCTCCCTCTCCCTCTCTACCTTTCTCTCTCTGTCTCCTTCTTCTTTTACTTCAGAGCGTGGGCCTTGAGGCAGCACACAGTGGGAGTAGGAAAACCTGTGTAAACATAATAATTTCCCCCTCTTCCAATATCTTCACTTCACTCCCTCACACTATAACTATTTTTTCTGTAACCCTTCACCCTTCACACTACACCCTTTTCCTCTGCGACCACTTTCCGTTGCGGCCAACAGCTAGGTCTACACTTGGGTATAGGAGGCTCATGGGCGCCCCAGGGAGAAAGAGAGGTCAATAGAAAATGTCTGAATGCCAAGGCGGGTGGCAGAGGGTCCACGCACACACTGGCACTAAGATGTCCGCGGCGGCACTGGCGAGAGGCACCAGGGAAGGGGAGGGCCAGCCGCGAACACGTCCAGGCATCCACAACTCCCTACCTCTCCCGACCCCTAGACGCGCGCACATCGATCGGTCACCACGTACTCGCTCTCTCTCTCTCTCTCTCTCTCTCTCTC